TTCAACTTTTTTCCACTTCTTCTCTTTTTCGGTCTCTTTCTGTTTCTTCTCTTCTTCGATTTTTTTCCGCTTCATCTCTTTTTCGTCCTCTTTCCGTTTCTTCTTTTCTTCGACTTTTTTCTGCTTTTCTAATTTTTCTTGTAACTTTCGTTTTTGAGGCGAATCAGTTAATATTTCCGAATGACAACTACGTTTTCTTGCCACATGAGGTTTTCTTGAAGGAATCGGTGAAATATCAGTAATTTTGACCTGAACCTTTGAAGTAGTAGGTTGTGGTATTGAATGTGCCACTGACTCCTCGTTGGACAAATCCATATTATCAATAATTTGTATAGAATTTGAATCTTGGATGTCGAGGACGGGTTCACTAATACTTTCTTGAGCAGATGATGGAACAAAGTCATTTTCATCAAACCTATCAGGATTTAAAGGATAAATACCTGCTGTACGAAAGCCAGATATGCCTTTCTCCATTGTAGCTACTTTTAAAAATGCCTTATTTAATAGCTCTGCAAGATCATATTCAGTTATTTTTTTATGACCAGTCGAATTTAAGTAAAAATCATATTGTCTGTATAAAGCATTCTTCAATGGGCCAAAAAATGTCAAATCTAAAGGTTGAGTTCGATGAGATGTGTGAGGGGGGAGAGAAAGTACAGTAATAAAACTGGATTTACATAAATCATAAGCTTCTAATGAAATATGGCTCGAGTGATTATCTAATATCAGAAGGACGGGGTCTTCACGAGTCGGTTTAACATGACTTTTAAAATGACGTAACCAGTCCAAGTACAGTTCCTTATTTGTCCATCCATTTTTAGAGCAAGCATAAATTGCTCCAATAGGCCCATTCTTTTGTAGCTGCGGACTCATTCGCACTCTTGGATAAATTAGCATTGGAGGTATGTACGTTCCAGATGCACTCACGCAAAACACTGCTGTAATGGTTCGTCCTCTTTCATTTGATGTTGCTGCCCCAATTCTCTTTGCCCCTTTTTCGCCATATATTTTTGGACATTTTTGTTGGACCGTAGTAATGCCCGTCTCATCCATATTAAAAATTCTATTTGGAGGAAATCTATACATGCCAATGAGTTGTTGTAAATTGGAAAAGAATATAGTAACTTCTTCTTTATTAAACGCATTGATTCTGTTAAGACTCGTCCCTTCCGGTTGTCTTAAAGATATTTCCGGGTTGCGCTGAAGAAATAGATATAACCAGTCTTTGCCAGCCAGTTTAGTAGATTTATTAAACCTATGTTTAATTTGTTTTGCCTCCGCAAATTCGAAAGCAATTCTACGAAGCTCACGTGGAGTAAGTCCATAAAATAGTTTTGCTAATTTTAGGACATGATCTGCCAATTCTTTTTCATCAGCTGAAAATGTTGGCTTTTGACCCAACGGCACATGACTTACGGAATTTTCTTTCAAGCGCTTTCTAAGAGTCGATTCTGGAATACCAAACTCCTTGCCAGCAGATCTGATTTTCATTCCATCGACTTTCACAGCTCGAATCGCTAATTTTAAGGACTCCTCAGTCCAATTATTCTTATCTGTCATTCTTGTATAAGTACGAGGCATCTAAAAACAAAAATTAAAACAAACTCTAATTGCTTTTCATTTAAGGTACATCAAAGCACAGATAATTCTCATTTGTGACGTTGTAACTCAGTTAAAAATGCCTTATTGCACATTCCTCTTCATTCTTACAAGTGAGATTCAACTAAGTTTTTGCCTACATTAATATGCACAAGCTTGAGACCGTGTGCTTCACCGCTAATGAGTTTTGATTGACATTGGAAGTGTGCAGGTTAGGTTATAAACCATG